CTAGAAAGAGAATAGACTCTACCCAACCCCCGGCGTTATCGGTCCCCCTTGCAGGTATGTACATCATATATGATTATGACCACATGTCCATCCGAAATATGAGTTTACACTATCCCTGGGGGGCCGGGATCGCCCCCCCCCCCAAAAAAAAAAACGATACGCAGGGACATCTTTTGTTCTAACATAATACTTTTCTCACGAATCCCTTCCAAAAAACGGGGCGAAGTGCACACGCGCGCCCTTGTGCGTGCGCCGTCGCGAGAATCCTCTGCAAAAGACGGGACGAAGTGCAGACGCGCGCGTCGTCGCGCGCGTACGCCAAAACCCTTCAAAACCCATCGGCTTCGGAAGGATTTCAACATCGTGTGTCCAACAAACCTACAAAAAAACAAGGTTTCGCAACACGGATGTTCAACAAAAGCGTGAGCGCGCGCTCTTGCGTCGTCGTCGTCGTCGTCGTCGCCGCCCTCCCCCCTCCCGCGTCGTCGTCGTCGTCGCCTACGTCGTCCTCTGTCGTTCCTCGTGCTCGTCGTCGTCGTCCTCTTTGGCGTCGTGGTCGTTTCCGTCGTCGATGTCGCCGTGGTCGTCCTTCCTCCTGCTCCCTCGTCGTCGTCGTCCGTCGTCGGCGTCTCGTCGTCGTCCCTCCTATTTCGTCGCCGTCGTCGTCGTCGTCGTCGTCGTCGTTGTCGTCGTCGTCTTCCCTCCTCCCTCGTCGTTGTCGTCGTCGGCGTCGCCGTCCTTCCTCCTTCTTCGTCGTTCGCGTCGTCGCCGTCCTCCCTCCTCCCTCGTCGTTGTCGTCGTTGTCGTCGTTGTCGTCGTCGTCGTCCTCCCTCCTCTCTCGTCGTCGTCTTCGTCGTCGTGGTCGGCGTTGGCGTCGTCGTCGCTTTCGTCGTCGTCGACGTCGGCGTCGTCGTCGTCGCCGACGTCATCTTGTCATCGCGCACGTCCGAGTATCGTCGGCATGCTCACCTTCATCATCGACTCACGGTGACGAACATCGGCACTGAGGATGTTATCATCGATGTCGTCATCGGTGGCGCCGCCGTCCCCCGCATCAGGAGTTCTGCCAAACAAGTTGCGGGTGGGAGGGTGGGATGTTTGCGCGAGCAGTGGAGGTGGTCAAGCGCGGTGCAGGGTAGTCAGGTCTCCTGTCTAACAAGAGAATAGACTCTACCCCCCCCGGCGTTTTCCGCCCCCCTTTCGGGTATGTGCATCATGTGTGATTCTGACCATATGTCCATCCTAAATATGAGTTTACACTATCCCAGGGGAACCGGTATCGACCCCCCTGAGGTTCCCTTGTAAAAAACTATACGCGGGGACATATGTTGTTCTAACATAACACTTTGTCGCGAATCCCTTGCAAAAAACCACGACGAAGTGCACACGCGCGCGCCGTCGCGCGCGCATGCCGAAATCCTCCAAAAACCCTTGGTGTCGGAAGGATTTCGCAATCGAGTTTCCAAAAAAACATACAAAAACACTAGGTTTCGCAACACGGATTCGCTAAAAAAACTTCCGCGCGAGCTCTTGCGAAATCTTGCGAAAACCGTAGGTTTTTGTTTTTTTTTTTTTTTAAAAAAAAAAAAACAAAAAAAAAAAAATGCTACCAAACGGGCTTCGCGCGCGCGCACGTCGAAATCTGTCGAACGCCCTTGCGCGTGTGCCGTCGCGAGAATCCTCTGCAAAAGACGGGACGAAGTGCAGACGACCGCGTCGTCGCGCGCGTATGCCAAAATCCTTCAAAACCCATCGGCTTCGGAAGGATTTCAACGTCGTGTGTCCAAAAAACCTACAAAAAAAACACATGGTTTCGCAACACGGATGTTCAACAAAAGCGTGCGCGTGCGCTCTTGCGTCGTCGTCGTCGTCGTCGTCGCCGTCCTCCCTCCTCCCGCGTCGTCGTCGTCGCCTACGTCGTCCTCTGTCTTTCCTCGTGCTCGTCGTCGTCGTCCTCTTTGGCGTCGTGGTCGTTTCCGTCGTCGATGTCGCCGTGGTCGTCCTTCCTCCTCCTCCCTCGTTGTCGTCGTCGTCGTCCGTCGTCGGCGTCTCGTCGTCGTCCCTCCTATTTCGTCGTCGTCGTCGTCGTCGTCGTTGTCGTCGTCGTCGTCTTCCCTCCTCCCTCGTCGTTGTCGTCGTCGGCGTCGCCGTCCTTCCTCCTTCTTCGTCGTTCGCGTCGTCGCCGTCCTCCCTCCTCCCTCGTCGTTGTCGTCGTTGTCGTCGTTGTCGCCGTCGTCGTCCTCCCTCCTCCCTCGTCGTCGTCTTCGTTGGCGACGTCGTCGTCGTTTTCGTCGTCGTCGGCGTCGGCGTCGTCGTCTTCGTCGTCGTCGACGTCGGTCGTCGTCGCCGCCGTCGTCATCGTCGTCGTCGTCAAGCGGGCTTCGCGCACGCGCGTGTCGGAATCGTTCGAACGCCCTTGCGCGCGTGATGGGGTGAAACGATCCGTGTCAAATAATTCCATGCGAACCACTCGCGCGCGTCTGCCGCGCGCGCATCTCGATTTGTTCAAAAACCTTCATCACCGGCGCAAAGACGCCGTCATCGACGTCGGCGTGCCCCGTCGTCGCTGCCAGCATCGCCACCAGCATCGCTACTCTCATCATCGTGTCTACCGTTGTCGCCGTTGCCATGATACCGCGCCCGCCCAAATCGCCGACTCGCACTGAAGTGCCCGCTGGGATGCGCCGAGCGGTCGGCGCCACCGCTTTCGCGTCGGTCGCGCCAAACTAGCTGGCCGCTGCGCGCGCGAGCATGCGCGGGCTAGCGCGGCAGCAGAGATGCACCAGCCAACACCCAGCTGGTATCGCAATCGTTCCCGCATGGGCTTTGCAAACAAAGCTGCGGGTGGGTGGGTGGGATGATTACGCGAGCAGTGGAGCTGACAACTTCAAGTTCGGCAAGTGGGTTGCACCACATATATTGCACCACCTTCATTTTCTTATCCAAAAGAAGAATAGACTCTACCCCCCCCACGGAATTAACGGGCCACTTTTTCGTATTGCAATTTACATACGATTTTGTCCCATCGTCTATCCGAACTGTGAATTCATATTTTCCCAGCCAAACCGGTATCGCCCCCCCCCACCCCACCATCCTCTGCAACAAAATACTATGCGCGCGCACTCGTGTATCACAAATCCTAAATGTTCAAGAATCCCTTGCAACAAATGGGGCGAAGTGCACACGCGCACGTCGTCGCGCGCGCATGCCGAAATCCTTCAAAAACCTTCGGTGTCGCAAGGATTTCGAAATCGGGTGTCCAAAAAACATATAAAAACCAATAGTTTCGCAACACTGATGTTTTCAAAAAGCTTACGCGCGCGCCCTTGCGAAATCTTGCGAAAACCATGGTTTGTTGACCATTTCCCCCCCCCAAAAAAAATGCTACCAAACGGGCCTCTCGCGCGCGCATGGGTTTTCAACAAAAGCGTGCGCGCGCGCTCCTGCGTTGTCGTCGTCGTCGCCGTCGTCGTCCTCTGTCTTTCCTCGTGCTCGTCGTCGTCGTCCTCTTTGGCGTCGTGGTCGTTTCCGTCGTCGATGTCGCCGTGGTCGTCCTTCCTCCTCCTCCCTCGTCGTCGTCGTCGTCGTCCGTCGTCGGCGTCTCGTCGTCGTCCCTCCTATTTCGTCGCCGTCGTCGTCGTCGTCGTCGTCGTCGTCGTTGTCGTCGTCGCGAGAATCCTCTGGAAAAAAGCGGGACGAAGAGCAGACGCGCGCGTCGTCGCGCGCGCATGCCGAAATCCTTCAAAAACCTTCGGTGTCGGAAAGATTTCAAAATCGAGTATCCAAAAAACGTGTATATATATATATATCTATAACAAAAAAACAAGGATTTTTTTATACAAAAAAAAAACTCAAGGTTTCGCAACACGTGTTTTCAACAAAAGCGTGCGCGCGCGCTCCTGCGTTGTCGTCGTCGTCGCCGTCGTCGCCGTCGTCGTCCTCTGTCTTTGCTCATCGTCGTCGTCGTCTTGGCGTCGTCGTCGTTTCCGTCGTCGTTGTCGCCGTGGTCGTCCTTCCTTCCTCGTCGTCTTCGTCGGCGTTTCGTCGTTGTCCCTCCCATTTCGTCGCCGTCGTCGTCGTCGTCGTCGCCGTCATCTTCCCTCCTCCCTCGTCGTTGTCGTCGTCGCCGTCGTCGTCCTCCATCCTCCCTCGTCGTCGTCGCCTTCGTTGTCGACGGCGTCGTCGTCTTCGTCGTCGCCGTCGTCGTCGTCGCCGTCGTCGTCGTCGTCGGCGTCGTCGGCGGCGGCGGCGTCGTGGTCGTCGCCGCCGTCGTCGTCGTCGTCGTCGTCAGCGTCGGCGTCGTCGTCGTCGTTGGTGTTGTCATCGTCGTTGTCGTCGTCGTCGTCGAAATCGTTGGAGACTCGCCCGCAACGTGTACCGTTGTCGACGTTGCCATGATACCGCACCCGCCCAAGTCGCCGACTCGCATTGAAGTGCCCGCTGGTACGTGCCCAACGATCAGCGCCACCGCGGCCGCGTCGGTCGCGCCAGACCAGCTGGCCGCTGCGCGCGGGTGCTTGGGTTGGCGCGGCCGCAGAGGCGCACCAGCCAACGCCGAGCATGCATCGCAATCGCCACCTTATGGGTTTTGCAGACGAAGTTGCGGGTGGGTGGGCGAGATGTTTGCAAGAACACGGGATGTGTCAACTCGTTTGTTAAAATCAATTGCACAAAATAGATCACACAGCAGATGTTGCACCACATCGATTGAGCCTTCTAGATTTGACAACATAGATCGCACGTCAAAACTTGCATCACAAAGATTGCCTAGCATATATCGCACCACATCTATTGCACCACATCGATTGCACCGCATCTATTGCATCACGTAGATTGCACCGCCTATATTGCTCCATCTATATTGTACATCGTGGATTCCGAGAATGCAAACTGTTTGGGGCCCACGCTGCTTGACATGTTAGTTCAACGCTTGGCCACATAATGGTTTCCCCGCTCAACAATCAAACGCAGGGGGGCACCGGAGACTCGCTGGAGACGTCTTCGATAACCTGCACCGATGCGCCATTGTTAGTCGTGGAGAACTTCCAATTAAACTCGCTGGTCACAGGACATACGCTCACTCGGACGCAGACTTTCTGGCCTTGGCAGTGAGTCGCCGAGAAACACTTCAGAGCCCAAAGCCGCCTGTTGTCAAGGGACCACCATGCTTCATGGTGCCAGCTGATCCGAATCGGTTCGAGATCGCGCAGTGGATCCACGTCGCCCGAAGTCAAGCCGTTCAGCAGCGCAAAAATCGACCGCCCATCGCGAAAGAAGTGCCCAATCGTGTTCTGGGTGAATCCGCCGCCGCCTGTCGATTCATCGCAGGGGCGCCTGGCGCGCCGAACTACTACGGTTTTGGCTTGGGCTCTTTTCCAAGAGGAACTCCCCCTGGGGCTTCGGCCCGCCCCGCCGGCCACCCAGAAGGCCAGGAATTCTTAGAACGTCTGCTCGAGATGGCCCAAGATGGCCTCCGAGATGGCCACGTTGGCCCAAGATGGCCTCCAAGATGGTCCAAGATGGCCTCCAAGTCCGCCCAAGATGGTCCAAGACGGCCTCCAAGACGGCCCCAGAGAGCCCAAGACTGCCCAAGACGGCCCGAGAGGCCCCCCCGAGGCCTCCAAGACGGCCCAAGAGGCCTCCAAGAGGCCAAAATCATTGATTTTCCGTAGGTTTTTGAAGGATGGTGGCATTCGCTTCTTCTCGGCCTTCCGACGACCCAAGACGGCCCAAGAGGCCCCAAAGATCGCCCCCACAGCGCCCAAGAGGCCTCCAAGATGGCCTCAGGACTGCCCAAGAGGCCCCCAAGACGGCCCCAAGAGGCCCCAAAGACGGCCCAGGAGGCTTTTAAGACGCCCAAGATGGCCTCCGAGAGGGCCCTGGAGCATTCCAACAGGGCCCCAAGTCGGCTCAGAGAGGCCCCCCAACCGGCTTCCGACGGCGTCGGACGGGCCAGGGGCCCACCAAGACGGCCGAAAATAGCACTAAGATAGCCCAAGACGGCCCAAGTGGCCTCCAAGAGGGCCTCCAGGAAGGCCCGAAAAGGCCAAAATCATTGATTTCGCATGAGTTGTTGAAGGATAGTGGCATTTGCTTGTTGTTCGGCCTTCCGACGGCCCGAGACGGCCCAAGTGCCCCCAAAGATCGCCCAAGGATCGCTCAAGGCCTCCGAGATGGCCCCAGAGCGGCCCAAGAGGCCCCCAAGACGGCCCCAAGAGGCCCCAAAGACGGCCCAGGAGGCTTTTAAGACGCCCAAAATGGCCTCCAAGATGGCCCCAAGTCGGCCCAGAGAGGCCCCCCAACCGGCTTGCGACGGCGTCGGACGGGCCAGGGGCCCACCAAGACGGCCGAAAATAGCACTAAGATAGCCCTAGACGGCCCAAGAGGCCTCCAGGAGGGCCTCCAGGAAGGCCCGAAAAGGCCAAAATCATTGATTTCGCATGAGTTGTTGAAGGATAGTGGCATTTGCTTTTTGTTCGGCCTCCCGACGACCCAAGACGGCCCAAGTGCCCCCAAAGATCGCCCAAGGATCGCTCAAGAGGCCTCCAAGATGGCCCCAGAGCGGCCCAAGAGGCCCCCAAGACGGCCCCAAGAGGCCCCCAAGACGGCCCAGGAGGCTTTTAAGACGCCCAAGCTGGCCTCCAAGAGGGCCCCAAGTCGGCCCAGAGAGGCCCCCCAACCGGCTTCCGACGGCGTCGGACGGGCCAGGGGCCCACCAAGACGGCCGAAAATAGCACTAAGATAGCCCTAGACGGCCCAAGAGGCCTCCAGGAGGGCCTCCAGGAAGGCCCGAAAAGGCCAAAATCATTGATTTCGCAGGAGTTGTTGAAGGATTGTGGCATGTGCTTTCTGTCGGCCTTCCGACGGCCCAAGCGCCCCCAAAGATCGCCCAAGAGGCCCAAGACGGACCCAAGAGGCCCCCAAGACGGCCGAAGAGGCATCCAAGACGCTCAAGATGGCCTCCAAGACGGCCCAAGAGCCCTCCCAGACGTCCTCCAAGAAGGCCAGAAAGGGTCAAAATGGCCTCCAGGCGGCCAAGATGACCTTCAAGATGCCCACGTGTTCCCCGAAGGCTTTCCAAACCGATTCGGGGAACACATGATCCGATAGCTTTGCAGGTCTGGCCTCGACGTTCGGCCACATAGGCGCTTCCACAAAGGCAAGGGGCGGCGGTGATTCGCCGTAGACGTCTTCGATCGTATCTTCTGCACTGGCATTTTCCGCTCCACTCGGTATTGCGTGTCGGCGGACGCGTTCGCGGGTGCATGCTCAAGCAGCAGATGCTGTTCATCGTCTGGGATGTGGAAATCGGCAGCAATCGCCCGCGCGACATCATCTCCCTTATTCAAAACTATCTTCTGACCATGGGGCCCGCGGACTACGACTTTCCCCACAGAAACTTCCACGCTGTCGCGAGTGGACTGCGCGACTGGGGTAGTTCCACCTGTGGCATGTCGCGTCCACTCGGCCCCATCACACCACACCAACTTTCCTCCTGACAAGCGCGCCATGCGCTTGATACCTCCAAGATTCACTGAGAATGTGCCTGCAGGAGCTGTTTCAAAAGTCCACCGGCTTCCAGACTCAGGCACCAACGGATTCTGTGAAGGCCTGCACGAGGTCGGTATTAGCCGGCTGTCTTTTTCCCAAACACCTACCCCACTTGAGATGGAAATCCGTTGCTGATATTCACTAATCCATACGCCGTCGATGAGGTCAATATCGGAGGCGTCAGCTGATGCACCATTCGATAAATATGATTCTTCTCCAGAAGTAGAGCAGTGGGTAACTGAATGTGCTTCCTGTCTGCCCCCAGTCGCCGCGACGCTGAGGCTGTCCCGAGCTCTCTGGCACCACTCGTTCCACAGAGATGCTGGATGTCCTGCTGTGGCTAGTGGATGTTGACCTGACATCATCGTAGAAGGCATGAAAGGTGTCGCTGGCATCATCATCATCATCGGCGGCTGAAGTGGGCGTTGCCCATGAGCGACTGCCTTCGGAGATGAGGGGACGAAGGGGACAGAGCCCAGCCCGTTGGGCCATTGCATCGGTATGGCAGGGGGGGCGAACCCAATGAATCCATGAGCTGGCGCTGCTGGCACATTGGGAACCACGGCGTTGCGGCAACGCTGCTGAAGCTGTCGCACGACAGCTGGCGACGCCGAAGAAACCGAAGCATTATTTTGGGAGCTCGACTTCGGAAGGCATGGTGGCACAGTCGATCCCGGCGGAGGTGTGGGAGTGCCCAGTTGCGCAATCGGCCTCCCAATCTCTGGTGCCGAAGCATCTGCTAATGGCGGCATTGCCAATACAGCCACCGTGCAGGAGTGATATCGATCCTCCTGAGCTGACACGTAGCAAATGACACCTCGATCAACCAACTGCTGAATCACCTGCTGGCGCACGTTGTTGTGATCCACTTGGCACCATATAGCTGGCACCGACCTTGAGAGCTCTGACCGCTTCGTCTCCAGCGTGGAAACGAAAGCTTCAAAGGCAGGCGTAGAGATGTGGTTGTGTGACAGATGGATTTCCTCTGGAAGGTTTTCAGCGGGCATGCTCTCAAACCACCGACGCAACTGCCCAAGTGCCTCGTCGTTTAGTCCTGCTTTGATTGATTTCCATACAGTAGCTCTTGCGCCTGACTCCCTCAAGATCCGAATCAACATGGTGAAGCTCAGGGAAGACCATTGAACCTGCGACACGTCGATACTGGCGAAGCAAATCTTGAAGCCCTTGTGAGGCCCCATTGCCTTCCGCAATTCGTTGCAAAAATCTTCGGTTTTGCCAGACTCGTCGCGAAACAAAACGACTCCTCTAGCTGGAATTCCAGATCCGCCACCGTCCCCCCTGGCACGCTGAGGCGTGGAAGAATGCCACCGTGCTGTCTGGTAGGGTTTCTGTACTCTTCCAACTGATCCCACACCCCTTCCGCCCGCACCCAACCGCGTGCCTCACCCCGACCCCCGTCCCCTTCTCTCGGAAACAACGGTGGATCCGCGTTCCCAAAACCATGATCCCTTTCTCCTATCTTGAAAAAAAAAAGGAACTAAGATCTACCACCCCCTCGACGCCCGGATGATCGACCCTCCTGGGGATGAGCAGTTTACATACGATTCTGCCCCATCGTTCAAAATATGAATCCACACCATCCCAGCCATACCGAATTCAATCCCTCCCCCCCTTCCCACCACCACCATCATCAGCAAACAAACACTACGCAAGCACACCCATGTATCAAACATCGCCAATTTAACTATCTTTCCCAAAATATGAGACGAAGTGCGTACGCGCGCGTCGTCGCGCGCGCATGCCGGGATCCTTTAAAAACTGCCGGTTCCGCAAGGAATTCAGCACCGAGCGTCCCGAACACATGTGGAAACACATGAATATTCACAAAAAGTCTGCGCGCGTTCTTGCGAATTCTTCTGGGGACCATTTCTTTGTCCGACATGTCCATCACATGCGGTCAAACGGACCTTTCGCGCGCGCGTGTCAAAATCATTCGACCACCCCTGTGCGCGCGCTGGGTTGTCAACCAAATCACGCGGGCCACTCGCGCACGTCGGCCGCGCGCCTACGTCGGAATCCTTCCGATACCTTCATCACCTACACATGGACTCCATCGTCATCGGCGTGATCAACATCGGCGCCGTCATTGGCTTTGTCGTCATCCTCGCCACCAGCACCGGTACTAGCATCATCGCGTATGTCGTTGTCGACGTGGCCATGATACCACGCCCGCCCGCGTTACCGATTCGCACTGGGATGCCCGCCCGTCAGCACGGCCTGCGAGACGCGCTGGGAAGTCCCCAGCGGTCAGCGCCACCGCGGCCGCGTCGGCCGCGCCAGACTAGCTCGCCGTTCCGCACGCGAGCCTGCGAGCGCTAGCGCGGCCGCAACTGTGCGTATAGGGAAACGACCGAAGGGTCGATCCTATGCGGGTGTCCGCAGGTAGAGGCAAAGGAAATGAAAGGGAAGGAACTCCTGTTCCTGGACGCCGAGCAAATGGCAGCGCTCTGTGCCTGCGTTGCCAACACCTGAGCCGATACAGTAGCGGTATATGACGATATATGGGGATATGGGCGGACTTCACGCAAGCACACACACACACACATACCGCCCCGAGACCCGCCAGTTCCTCGATGGCCTCGGGCCCCCGGGAGACAACGGCAGGGTTCGGGACCAGAGGTGCGAGGTCCACTCACATCACCGTCAATCGACCGCACCTCCAAACGAGGTTGCATCGACTAGGAAGGCGAGGAAAAAAACGACCCCGCCACTCGGGGTACTTAGGGGAGTCCACCCGCTTTTAGCGGGCCCAGGGTGCGCCCCAAAAAAACGTTTCGGCACACCTGGGCGACTCCCCGTCACCACAGGTGACGAGGCTGGGAGAGCAAGGGAGAAAATATCAAAGGGAGTGCACAACCGCTTCCTTCGATGCGGGTCTCCACCGACGCACAGTTAGAGTGCGCAAAATGCAACGGATCAGAGTTGTGACTCTCTCAATCACGGGGCTCTCCAAGCCCTACAGATTGATGGGGCTCTCCAGGCCCAAATTCGCACTGTATGAAGGTAGTTGCGATAACAACTGGTCCCCGAGAGAAAAACACGCAGTGCATGAGACACTCCAGGCCTCAGTAGACGTAGCAATGTGACGTCAAAGCAATCGTACGTAGCTACAAAAAGGAAAAGTACGGCCAATGTGACAATGTAAAGAATGGCTAGTATTTCATCGCAAATGTCATGAGAGTGATGCTTTGCATGTGTCGTACTCGGTCGCTGCCGACCTCTCATGAAAGTGAAAAGTGCCCATTTCGATAAAATTGTTGGCGGGCGCGTTTATGCCCTGAGCGCCAAACTGTACGAAAGTATGTCAAATTTGTCAATGCACAAATGGCATGGAAATAAAAACGACATGCGCAACAAATCGCAGAAAATGTAGGATACGAAATCAAGGAATACAAATCAGAAAGACCACCAGTGTCACCATATAATCACATCGTACGATGTCACACAAACAATGGTGAGATGCAGTGAGACAGTCCTACTTCAATACGTATCTAGAAATCATAATATCAATTCTCCCAGACACGATTGCTGCATTCATCAAACCAACCATTGGTGCGGCCGCTGTTGTCGTCCAACCAGATGCACTCGCAGTCGCCATCGCCAATGTAGATCCACTCGTTGAGACAGGGGGACCAGTAGCAGTATATATCGCGCTGGTGGTGCCCAGGATCCCGGCGCCACCATGCCTGGACCTTGCGGCGCTGGCGCGCGGCACTACGGCTGCGGCCTCTAGGCTCCATCTCCCGCGGCAATCTCCTGGGCGGCGTCGTAGGTCTCCGCGCGCAGGATGCGGGGCCGGCGTCGCCAGTCCAGCCAGCAGCGCCAGGGGCACGGCCGCCGGCAGGGACACGGCGGCGCGGGAATGGAGGAGCCGGGGCGAGGCGGACAGGGCCAATGACGGGAGCAATGTCCTCGCCCTTCTTACCTTCCGCTGCGCTTTCGGGAACCTGCCCGCGGAGCTCAGCCAGCGTAACAGGGCCCATCGAACCCTGACCTCTCCCAGAGGGAGCTGACAAGGCGATGATCCCACGGTCAAAGCGCTCGCTGCGACTGAGCGCCCCAGGGGCCTGCGCCCGTCGGCCAGCGCATCCAGAACGCACACTGCTACGATAAAACTGCAGAGCCTCACGCATATCATCGATCGTGAATGGCCGCTCGTTCCTGGCGATCCTGCTGTCCGTCATCTGCGCGCGGAGCAGAGGGTCGGACTGGAAGCGCTCCACGATGTCCATGCATGGGCGATACAGGACAGCAGCGTCCTTGCCATCCTCATCTCCGCCCAGGCGGCAGGGGCCTACCGGGGGCCTGCCAGCCCCAACCCACCTGGCGCAGCGTTCCTCCGCCTTGGCCGCCTGTCGGCGAAGGAAGTCGCGCCGTTGAGCCATATCGGAGCGAGGGCCCTGAAAGCGAATGGCGACGTCGGCACGCATAAGCTGCCGCGCGATATCCCCATTCAAGTTGCTGCGAATCCAGGAGTGAACATCTGCGAGAAACTTGGTCTGAGCAGCACCAGTCCTCCCGCACTTCTGCGACTCACTGCGCACATCGCAGATGTCACCGCGGAAGCGGTTAGGGAAATCGCGGTAGCAGCTCTGACAATGACGCCTCGCGGCTTGCAGGTCAGTAGAACCATGCCCAATCAGCTGTTGGACGCGATCGCGGGCGTTACCACAAGCCTTCGGCGACCGACCGAGATCATGCAGAGCACGATTCGGGGCCAAATGAGCGCGATCGGCGGCCAGGTCGGCGGCCGGGGATTCCAATCCTTAATCGGCCATCTGATCAGAGAGGTCTCCGGCCGAGATCTGTTCATGGGCATGGCGTGCTGAGGCCGTGCCCTGATGCTCCGTCAGGAGCTGCTCCGCGGTGGCACGGAGCTCCGCGCCCCTCGCATCCTTCTCGATGCCCTCCAGATTGTCGCCAGAGTCGGTCCGCAACGCTGCGAGCAGTTGTTCCTGGGTCGGAGCAACAGCGGACGCTGTGCTACCAGGGCCAGCAGCCGGACCAGGGGCGTCGGTAGGGTTGGGTTGGCGTCAGCCCTGATGTTGATATTGCCCTTCATGGGGTCATCCAAGTATTCGCTCTGCTTCGGGTTGGACGTCACATCCTTCTCCCACAAGTTGAGCAAGGACTCGAGGACGGATGATGATGTTTGAGAATGTCCGTCCGCGATGTTTCCGCAAGGCGCTGAGTGGCGTCGTTCTGCATGATAGCAAAGAGGTGTGGAATCCAGCGGAAAAGCACGAACTCATCATCGTCGTTCCAATCCACGTTCGTAATCATTGTCAAAATGAACCAACGATGTCCGCGAGCGTCGGGGAGCTGCCTGGCCCACGGACTGCACGGACTGAATGTCATGCGGTATCAACTCGAGTCAATGTTGGAACGAAGCTTGATAGCGAGGTGGCGGACGCAGTTGCGGGTGTCATCCTCGTACTTCACAATACACATTTGTGCCACCTCGCAGAGCGGCGTCAGCAACAGAGGTCCAGGGCTAACTGTTGCTTCGCCAGAGTCTCGAATACTCTGGAGAGACTCGTTGGAGAGAGCGCCGGAGGTAGCCTCCAGGTCCTCAACGATTTGGATCGGGGCCAGAACCATCTTCTCATCGTCTCTGACGGAGCGACTAATCACCGTGCTCAGCCGCGGCGGGATCGTCGCGAATGCGGGCGTTGCCACCGACGTCTCAGCAACGACGTCGTCGCCAGGCATGCCAAGATGATCGGCGATGTCCCAGGTGCGGGAGTGGCCAATCGAAGCCGACGGGAAATCGGCACGAAGAGGAATAGCGAAGCGGAACCCCTCTGTTCGTTAGCCTGATCGCAGTACCATATGTTGGCCCGGTAGGGCCGTGACCACGGCACGGGATGTTCACACTGACGTAGGGCCCTTTGTGCTCGATATCGATGAAGGGTCCAAATATTTGCCCCTTTGCCAGGATGAGTGGCGGTTGCTTGGTGGCAGGGCACGGCGCGGCGACAGCCCGGCATGGAGACGAGCCGCATCGACGCGCGTAGAAGAAATCACCGAAGCGAATGACACTGCAGGGCGAAGTACGGCCCCAGGTACCCGGAGAAAGGTCTTTGACGAGTGGTTCAAGGCACTGCTTCTTGCAATCCTGCACGATTTTCCACCAGTTGATGCTCGTCTGTGCCTCCTGGATGTTCTGGTCAGCTGGGGTCGGTGGGTTTGCATCCTGCGGGGACGCAGGTGTCTCCACCGGCGCCTGCACATTGGCGTCAGCAGCAG